AAAAAAAAAGATGTAGAAAGACTAAGCCTGCTAGAGTAGCTATTTCTCAGAAGCGTTAAATCCTGACCTTGATTCATAACCAAACAAGAGGATTATCCTCTAGAGAAGGGGGAGACGTTTTTTCAAATATACTGAGAGGAATTGTAGCTGCTATCAAAATATACAAAGGACAAGCAAGAGGGAATAGTTAAGTCCTAGGTTTTATTTTACATCAACACAACTTTTTGCTTTTTACTGTAATTTTGAGATGCAATTAAAACTTTTGAAAAAGTTATGTTATTTATCAGCGTTTTTCCGTGTAGTGACAAGCTCATTCATAATTTTTTGTCCTGTTTATATTTTTCTTTGTTAAAATTGTTTCTCCAATTTATAAAATAAAATTAGATTAAATATACATGGAAAAAGAACTAAAATAAAGGGGCGCCCAACTCCCCTCTTCTGAAATCCATTAAAATAAACAAACAAAAGGGAATAGTCAAGTCTTTAGTTTTATTTCACATCAACAGAACTTTTTGCTTTTTATTGTAGTTTTATAATGCAATTAAAACTTTTTTTATAAAGTTTTTACCTATCAGTGTTTTTCTGTAAAGTGACAAGCTCATTCAAAATTTTTCTGCTGTTTCCATTTTTCATTATTAAAATTGTTTCTCCAATTGATAAAATAAAATTAGATTAAATATATATGGAAAAAGAACTAAAATGCAGGGAGGGTAGCCCATCTCTCCTCTTCTGAAATTCGCAACACAACAAAAATAGTTTTAAAATTTTTATTTAAACAATTTTTTAGTTATATATATATTACTTAGTTTTATTAAATAACTTTTAGTCTTGCTATAATATATAAGACATATTAGCTATATCTGATTTATCTCAATTAGATTCATTGTTAAAAATATTATGAACATTTCAGAAGTCAAAATTAACATTGTGAAAAAGAATTATAACTAAAAACACTGAGGGTGGAAAAAAAAAAAAAGAGTCCTTATATTGCAATGCATAACTGGCTTACTGTGTTGTGTTTTTTTAAAAATTATATCAATCTAATTTTCTATTAAGGGCCGTTGAGCCCAAAGGTAACTAAACATTTATTCAAATGTAACTGGATATATTAAAAAAATAAACAATTTATATACAACAAATAAATTGAAGCTTGCGATCAGAAATTTCCTTAAAATTTTACATATTTTTAATTTTTATCTCCTGTGATAGTGCATTATGTATTAATTAGCAGTACACTTTCAGGTTGTTAATCTTATACAAGTTAAAAATACTTACAACAATGGTGAAATATTTCATTTTAATATAATTCTTTTTTTAAATCACTTTAAAAAGTATTATTTTTATATAATTATATCAAGTGTCATTATTAGTATATGAAAGTTTTTAAAGCTCATATGTAAGGAATAAAAGTATTAAAAAGTGAAAAGTTCCCTTTTGTAAGCTTTAAACTAAATCTAGCATACCCAATTTAAAAATAATATTTAATGACCTAATTCAGGCAAAATTTTGAGTTGTGATGTGTCCTATAATTTTTTGTTTTGTTTTATTTTTCCATTTACCTGTGAGAATTCCAATTCTCTAGCATGACAGAGACTGTTTTTAATAATTTTAACTTTTTTAGCATCCCTACCACAGAACATTTTGTAAGAGTTGATGAAATTAACAGTTGACTAAATGAAAAAGAAAAAAATTAGAGAAACAAGAAAATTGGTTTATAAAGGGAAGTGGTTAAATAAATTAAACTTTTCTAATTCTTTGCAAACTTATGACAAAAAATTTAATTGTTCTACCAAACTGAAGATACGCTGAAAATGCTCAATTCGACTTTCTTTGAAAGGAGAGTTGTTAACACTGCAGTCACAAAAAATAATGATTTGCTGCATAAAAACTTAATTTAATAAACTAAAAAAATTTAATGAAAATGATCAAACAATAACACCACCAGAAAAGTTTTTAAAAAATATCATTCCCACTTAAATAATAAATCAAAACTAATGTTTTAGTTTGATCAATCCATTGGATATAAATGGGCATTTCTCATTATGTAATTTTTTATTTGAAATTATAATGAACTTGGCTGGTAAGAATAATTTTCATTTAAAAAAAAAAGTATCCACATCAAAAAATTTTTTTTCTATGAAATCTAACCTACCACAAAAAAATTATAATTGCCACTAATCAGGGATGGACTGGCCCACTGGGGACCTACCTCAGTGCGACCTCTTAACTGGCACCCTCTGTCTTGGTTACTTCCGGTTAAAATAAATTTAAAAAAAGAAAAGATTAATTATGCTTTGTTTTTTAGGTGGGAAATTAATGATTTGTAATAAAAAAACAAAAAGGACAGTGTAGTAGTCAGATTCATCTAAACATCTGAGAGCACAATTTTTGAAATAGGGGCCCAATTCAAAACAGCACATGAAGGAACATTTTGTGGCAACACATGAAAATTGCCTTGCTATGACACTATCTGGAAACATTTTAATGAAGCATTTATTGATTCCTTCACAAGAATTATATGAATAATGACATTAGATGCACTTTATGTGTGGTTATGTATTTTAACTAATAATTAAATAGATGAGCATGATCTAATATCACGAACGAACACATTTAATAACAACTTGACGAGATACAGAAACCGGAACTAACATAAACAGTTAACACAAAGTTACAGTTCGCATAGCTGATGCCACATCTCCCCTTTTAAAGATTTAGTCTATTCAGAGCTCTCATAGTTCTCCCAGAGCGAGTCACAACAGTTTTCGGAGATAAATTCTTCCTCTGAGTTAAGACTGCAGGATGTGGATCTATTACTTCTGGTAAGCTCCTTCTGTTATTCTGGAATTTGTAGATCTTTTGATTTTTGATCCTGGAATCAAATGTTTCCTGTTCCGTTGAAGTTTTTGTTTGCCTTCTTTAACAAAGTATGACTTTGGTGATTCAGCTTTTCTTTGTACAGTTCCAACAAAATTCCTATCAGTAACGAGAAAAAGAGGGTTGGTGATCGGGATTCCAACCATTTCTGCTTGAAGTTTATTTTGTGCTTTTTTCATAGGAAATATATTATAATAATATTTTTTTGCGAAAATTATTCTGAGAAAATCAAAAACTTTTCAAGGACCTTAACGGATTCAAGGACTGTTCGGGACCTCTACATTTTTCATCAAAATTCAATGACTTTCAAGTACCTTGGGAACCCTGTCTTGATATTTATTTATATATTAACATTGAGCCAACAAATTAAAATAATTCTTTTGTTCTGTAACAATAGACTATATGGCAATCAAAAAACAACAAATTTTGCAATTTAATTAGCAAATTCAGTTCGAAATTTGAATAGAATGGGACACGATATCTTCAGAAAGAATACATGATTCCGAAAAAATAGTCTAAATAAGGCTTTTTTTTTTGTAAAACTGAACTACTACTAGGTACAAAAAGGAAAATTAAATTTAACATTAAATAATTCAAAAGTCAAATGATACATTAATCAGGGTTGGCAGGTTTTTGACATGTGACAGTTTTTGACAGTTTAAACCATNAAAACCCAACCCTGACATTAATAACAGTTTCATATTAGAATGGTCCTAAAACCTTTCTGTAAATGTATGTAAACATTCAAATTTTTATTATTGAAGAGTTTTTGCGTTAGGAGAGTGAGAAGCATGGAAATTTTCTAAAATAGAGGCGACTGCGACAATAACTTTCCTTTAAAACAGAGAGGTAAATAATTTCAGAAAAACTAGCATCAAATGTCATGAAATAATGATGGAATCGTCTAGAATTAAACGTTTCAATAAAGTGATAGCTAAAGTTCAAATATCGCAATTTCCGGTCTGAATAACCACCAATACTAATTGCATGTGACATAATACTCGTAACTTTAAGTTCCTTGTATAACTCAGGTAGGAGCTAAATTGTGGAAGCAAAGGTACTTTAAAAGTTAGGTTTCAAAAATAACAGCTGTAGTTTTCTACAATTATGAAATTTTTTATGTATCAAATTTAAATATTTTTGAGCAAATAATGACTAATGACCCCTTATTTCGGACCCAAATGACAATTGTCTTCCTCTTGTTACTGCTGTATTTAGACTAATTTGATTTGCCACCTAAGATCTAAAATGTACTCCTTGTTAACATTATCAGTTCAACATATTAATTTTAGACTATAACTTCATATTGGGGAAAACTTCCAGATAAGTCTTGATTACAATCCAGCAATGGCAGTTGAGAAACTTAAATAAATATCACAGAGAGGGGAAAAGTATAACTAGGAGAAACAAAATAAATTTTTCCTTCTATATTTTTAAAGCACAAAAAGATTGTAGTTGGCCGGAACAGGTATCGATGTTCCCTCAAATTAAAAATATAATTTTAGGTTACATCTACCAATTATGAATGATTGACTGAATAAAAATGAAACACAGTAACATTTAATTATTTATTTATTTGCCACAAGAAAAATTGTAATAAAAACAAACAGTAGAATTTTAAAACTAGTATTTAAATCATTTATTTCTTTTACCTTTTAATAAAATATCAACTACTTTAAAAGCGTTTAATATTCCACACATTTTACAGTTGGTTATAATTGAGGCAAATATTTCGATAATCGGGTAATAATATCACCTCAAATTAAAAACATAATTTCATATTGCATCTACCAATTATGAATGATTGACTGAATAAAAATTAAACACATTATCATTTAATTATTTGCCACAAGAAAATTTTGAATAAAAACAAACAGTATAATTTTAAAACTAGTTTTTAAATCATGTATTTCTTCTACCTTTTAATAAAATATCGACTACTTTAAAAGCGTTTAAGATTCTACACATTTTATACTTGATTATAATCCAAGCAAATATTTACAGCTTTTAACATTTTTAGTCAACAAAAATAGTGGAGCTCTGCTAACTGGTTTTTGGGAAATAAAATTTCTGAAACAACGTCCAGATCATTAAAATTATACAAAAAAACTAGATATACTTACAATTATTTATAAATTAAACGATTTTTTTTTAATTAGCTAACCAAAGAATATCATCAAATCTTGCAATGAATCGGACTGTTTGTGTTTGTATTCCTGAAAATTTATATCTCCACGTACAGCCGGCTGAGCAAAAGCGCTTGAAATGCTTGCCTAGAATTTATTTCTCACCAAAGTATTATCGAAAAAGTAACCCTGTTGAAGAAATTGCGCGGAGGAATACACTTTACTGCGTAATTCTTGTGCTGTTATTGTTTTATTGCTAATAGGTGCAATCAAGTGTTGTTTCGTTGATATGGGTCGCGTTCCAATATTCACACTGGTTACACTACTGTCGTAGATATAAGGAGCCCGTAAGAAGAAGTGAAAATCTTTTCTTTCTGGTGGCAACAAAAAGGCAATTCTTAGGTTTAACTTACTTTTGTGGTAGTGACGTAGATATTCGCATAAGAGTAGAAGGAAGTGAAGGTCCTATCTTCCCGGTGGCAACAAAATTTCAAGAAATTACCCTCTTTCAGGTTTACCTTAGCCAAGTGCTTTATCTCACTATTGGCATATCTTTGGGGAGCGCAAAGATGTGAAGTTTCTTGTCCTGTCTGTGATCGGACAGATTTATTACCGTCTCTAAATTTTCAATCCCAAATTCTCAAAAAATAAATATATTTAAAAATTTAAAACACAGAGACACCCTTTAATTTAAGGGGAATATAGTCGACCTTTATTTATAAGGAGCTTATGTGGGAGAGAAGTAATATCTTTCTGCTCTCTGTAATACTGAGGTAGCAGTTTCAAATTTCGGCGTAATACGGATGTTCGTGATGCCCTTCTCTAACTTTGTTCTTATATTTGGTATAAACTAAAAGATATTCTTTCTGTTGAGCACACAATTCACCATTGCATGTGAATCATAAATAGGTAAATTAATAAAATTTATGAAAAAATTACACTCATCTTGGGAGTCTGCAGATGCGTTACGCGATGAGATTTGCCCCCCTAAATGGTGAGGTTTATGCATTAAGTACGCACCTGAGATATTTGCATTGATAGAATCAGATACAGTGAGAACAGCTCTCTAATGATGAGTCATTATATCAATCCAACAATTGAAATTATTGATTCAAAGAGGAGAGCAGAAAGAGGCACTACCCATTTTCGGTTTGAAAACGCATCTAAGTTTGAAATAATGACTATATCTAATGATGCTGCCATCTAGTAAGATATATGGGACATAAGAGTTTCTCGTTTTTTTCCCTCAAAGAGTGTCTTAAATAAAACTTCCTTTTTAAAAGACTCACATCTCGTTAAAATATTTTTACTTTTTTTTTATATCAAGAGAAATGGAACAAAATATAATTTTTTCCGAAATGCAACGAGCAGAAAAAAAAACTAGTTGCTTTTATTTAACGAGTTTATTTTTTAAAAAAAAGTTGCTTTTATTTAACGAGTTTATTTAAAAAAAAAAAGTTGCTTTATTAAATATCCGATTCTGATGTCTTTACCATGAAGCATAAGATAAAAATAAAATTTTGATAAATAAGAAAATGATTCTAAAAACAGGATGTACTGAAATAAAGAATCATTTGTACATTTCTATATTTGCTTTCTTATTTAAAAATAGGAGAAAACAAAGACACTTTCAAAATAAACTTTTTTACAATAAATAAGTAAATTAATTAAATTAAAAAAAATAATAAAATAAAAAATTTAAAAAAAAATAAATAAATAATAATAATTCTTGCAAAATATAAAATCTAACTTTACACATGCGTTATAAAAATTTTGAATAACTTCGTGAGGTTATTCTGCTTGTATGTTTTTATAATTCCTATCGAAAGGACCGGATTAAAAATCTTAGAGGCCCTAAGCACTCAAAAAATTACTTCTTAAATGTAATTAAGAATTTCAAAACAAATAAAAAACACTATATGCTTTTCTTAAACAAAATTAAAGTATGATGAATAAATTTATCATTAAAAATAAATTTATAAACTGACAAATTAAATGCGTTTTTGCAGAAGATCTATAATGGGGATCCAAATTTAACTAAAAAACACTATATGCTTTTCTTAAACAAAATTAAAGTATGATAAATAAATTTATCATCAAAAATAAATTTATAAACTGACAAATTAAATGCGTTTTTGCAAAAGATCTATAATGGGAATCCAAATTTTTCATTTAACTCTCAGAAGAGTTTTCCACGCTAACCACATGTTTTATGATCTTAGAGCCAAACTAAAATAGTTTTGACAATTCTGATGTTTTATTTTTTAAAAAATTTCCTGACCAACAAGTTATATTTTTCACTTTAATTCTATAAAATAAAACATTATTTTATATTCAAACTTTCCTGTTGTTCTGTAATATACTTTTCTATATACTAATATACTTTTTAAATTTTTGCTAAAAATTAAGTGAAAAAAATATTTTTATTGTGGTTTTCAAGTAGATAATCATGTAAAAAAATTATGAATTTTTAAAGAATTTTTATAGAGAATACAAAAGCATACAAGAGCTCAATACAGAATAGTAACGGAATAAATAATCAATAAAAATAACAAACTCTTTTCTTTTTTTCTCTGAGAGTGTTGATGGTAACTTGCGATCAAAATTTCTGTTACTTTCCGACTAGCTAGAGTACTCAAATATCTACCGGAGCTCCACATTCATTGACAATACAAGTCGTTTGCTGACCTCAACAGAGTTTATTACCATTTTATCAGAGTTCATTACCAATAGATATCTTGATCACTTTCTAATTAGCCGAAGTGTTCTAATTTCAACCATATTCTATAGACGAAACAAGCTACGATTGCTTCCGGATCATTGTAAGCAAAGTTTATTGTCATTTTAGCACTAGAAATTTTTTTCGATTAACAGAAATTCGTATCCTTTTCGCCTATAAATTCGCCTTTTCGAAGTAGAAACTACTGGCAATCACAATTTCGATCCTTCTAAAAATAAACAACTCCGTAACTATAAAAAATAAAATAATATGAAATAAAAATTTTAGGAACTACCGTTTTTTAGGCAAATTAAAAAGGAAAATATAATTCTGTTTTTGTCACACCTAAAACGGAAAATGTTGGAGACAGACTTTTCCCCCCATTTCCGTCTTTAGAAAGTGATGCGATCAACGTTTTTTGTTTTAGATGTGACAAAATTGAATTCGTTCTTCTTTTTTTTTGGTTTTTTTTTTGTCACAGACTTGAAAAACATAGCGTTTAAAATTTTATTTTACAGTGTTCTTTTATTTATTAAAATCAATCAAAATTGTTCCTATAATGTTCAAAAATATTCATTCAAATACATTTAATATGTTAACTATACTGTTTTGAATTGATAATAAATTAATTTTATAATTGAACCAATACATGTTACTTCATTTTGATTTCTCTTTCGTGAAAATAAACATCAGATAGTCAGTTTTGTATATAAGTGATATACTGATAGAGCGATTACTGTATAACACACAATATGCTTCTATTGAACTTTAATTTTATTGTATATTCACAAATAGCTAGAGAAGGAGATTAACGAACAAAATTTATCAATTTTGTTTATTTATATTTTGTTTACATAATTTGTTGACTGGAAAAAAACGATAGTTGTTTGTCTCGGTATAACCGCAGCACCGAGAGGGTCTAAACGTAAATATTTTAAAATGACTTTAATAAAAAGACCACAAGCAAACGAAAAATTTAATTATAACCAATTAAAAAAGTTGTCTTTCCTCACTTCAATAAAATATTTTTTTAAATGAGTTAAAATAAAAAATAAAAATAATAATAAAAAAAAAACTGTTATCAACCAATTGCATTGATGCAGACCACTTTTTAAATTAATAGTTTAAATAAATTAACCATTTAGCTAGCATTTTTATTGTCTTCAGGATCTTTGATGTGCATAAATAATCTATTATTTTGAGAAGTTATATATATATATATATATTTCTTTTTTTCAATTATGATTTTGAAGACGTGTTAGAAATGTCTTAATACATTACGGTAATGCATTAATATAATACGTTGTTGGATATTAATTTTCATTTTAATAGTATAATCCACTATTCAATATTACATCTATTTTTTTAAATGCTTATTATACTTTTTATTTAAAGAAAATATAGGAATACAAAGAGCATCACTTTCAAAGTAACTTAAGTTAATAAACTATAAAATTTTTAAAATATGTAATTTTCAAAATGGAAATTATTCAATTAAAAATTTTAGAATATGAAGAAATTATCAGCTTGTTAAACTATCTAACTTTGAGCAACTTTTTTATAACTTATACTAAACTGGTTTTTATTTCATGCGAAACATTTCTTATGAAAATTTTATCTTTAAAAATAATACAGAATTTGAAATTTTTTTCTTAAGGAATACAATTAAAAATTTAATCATGAAAATAAAGAAGAAAAAAAAAAGCTACAGCTGATAAATTCAATATTTTTTTTTAAATATAAGAACACAGTATAAGCATATAAATATAAAATTAGCTTCATCTGAATTACAAAAACTCTTTCTCGTTAGTCGAATTTTCTTCTCAATCATTTTGGTATTTCAATGTTAGAGGGTGTTAGTTAAAAAGCGGCTAAACAAGAAAGATACCATTTAAATCTGATTTCCAACTAAAATACTTATTAGATACAATACATACATCAATAAGTTGAGCCGTGGTCTCTCAGGAGATAGAGCACGTGCCTCCCTGGAGATAGAACACGTACCCAATGAGGTGAATCCCAGCGATAGCTGTGCAATACAAATTCCGCACCCGACTCACACCGATCACAGTACTGACCTAAGACATCCTCCGTGGTAGACGAATCCTGGTGTAGTCCTATCCTAGACGAGTCCTATCGTTGTCAGGCTAAACATTGGGGGTTCGGGTGGTATAAAATCGCAATAAATGTGGGTCGCAATAAATGTGGGTTACATCCATCCTTGAAGGTTAATTTCTCCCAATTCTTCATCCAGGACTTCCACTGTCTTCTGGAATGGGTTCAAAATTACAAAGCTATGGAATTGAACATTGGTAGCAATAAACTCAAAAAATGGGGTCGGCAGTTCAACGACAATGTTAAAAAAAAATAAAATGCATCAATAAAGTGAGGCGATACTGAGTGTTTGAAATGAAAAAGCTATTTTTTTTTATTTTGAATTACATCATTTAGGAGTCGCGGTGGCTCAGGTGATAGAGAGTTAACCTTCGTGTCCCAGGTTCAAATCTCAACTGTGGAAGGTTGATACGAATACTGTTCGCGACTCGTACTGACTACATTGCTGAAGTAAAATATCCTCTGTGGTTGACGGAACATGGGTCAGAATCTCCTCGCTGTCGCATATGAAAAGATACCAATTCCTAACTTGGGACGTTGGGCAGGCTTGGTGGTCCTATTTAGCTGAATATTGGTTTTTGAGGATGGTAACCACCACATTTATTTTTGCCCACCAATGTTTTGAGGATAATATAATCATTTCTACAATTAAAGATTGTCAAAAATCTAACGCATCTCATCAGACGTTGAGGTAACAGTAGAATTTTGCAGGTGCAATGCACTTCAGTAGATAAATGGTGTATTCTTAGATCTATAAATAGTTCTTTTGTTATCAAAAAATATCTGGTGGACTGCAAAATAGCTTTGGCTATTATAGTGACAAGTAATTTCTTTTATTTATTTTTTTAATAATGCTAGATGATATATTCAATTTAAATATTGTCTGCCATTTTTATTTTACTGTGATAATTTTTCTTTCTTTATTTTGGCATCAAGATCCGATTTTTAAAATTGAGTAAAAGACTTGTGTACCCATATAAATAGTGTATGAATTCTTGATTCACTCAAAAATTTTATAAAAATCATGTGTCTTATTTGTTTTTATAAATTAATCAAAAGTATTTCAACATTGTTTAAGGCAGTTCTAGTGAACTTTTTTCAATGGGCATGGAAAACTGTTTCTGAGCAAATTTTAAGCATGGAAAACTGTTAAGAGCAAATTTTAAACACCTATGTAATTATTCGTTATGGGATTTTCAAAAAAGTGATCCTACAAAAAAGTTTTTTGTTTCTATTTTTTTTATTTTTCTTATAGTATTGTCTTTTGCATATTTTTGTGGGGAGTATGGTACAGGGTTATTAATACCTATATGCTCCCTTATCTAAAGTGTTTTTTGTTCATACTTCAGTATTATCTTTGGATCATCAATAAGGACAGGGCCTAATTATAGCCTAGGACCAATAGGCGTGGGCTTAGGGCCCACAATTTCTGAGGGGCCTCAAAAATTAGTAAAACGTCTAATGAAAGGTGGGCTAGCTATGTGTTGGTTTAAGGACTAAATAAGAAATAATTACAGCTTGCAATAAAAAAATAATTCAGCTAACCAGTGACTTTTAGCAAAAATCACTGATTTCAGTTGTTTGTGGTCGCCAAACTATTTCTATTTTGACATAACATTGTTTTGTTGTTTTATATTTTGCTTTAATTTGTAGATATGTAAACTTTATCTTAGAAAAATAATCTTCAGTTGCCTGTTTTCAAAATTTCTTAGAATGTTTCTCTTCAGTTCAATAGATTCTTTTTCATTATTAGGACTACTCTTCAGTAATTTAATTTCAAAATATTTTGTAAGGGGCCCAGAAAATTAGGTGGGCCTTGGGCCCGAATTTGTCTTGATCTGCCTCTGAATAAGGAGGAATCCTGTACCTAATGGGCTGTTACGGTAACACATAATTTAATAACCAAATAAAAATCCTCATTAATCTGAAATATTTTTTTTTTTTACTTTTCATTTTGAACTAGATCTTTGCCTCAGGCGGAGTGTGATTCTCAACGCCATCTAAATTCAAAGTTTAAGGCTAGATTTTACTTCAGGTTTACCTTAATGCAACTATCTTATTCAATTTTTCTAACATTTCTTTTTTTGAAAAGTCTCTTTGTGTATAGATAGAAAAGTATTTTTTTCTAATTGGGTTAGTTTTTTGCCAATCAAAAATTTGCTGATCTAATTAAAACCAAAAAGAAGTTGCTATTAAAATTTGAAGATAATAGTTTGCTAATTTAAATCACCGTGATACTTGTAACTAATTTCTTCCCGAAGTATTATTAGTATAGAGCAGTGGTCCCCAACCCCCGGTCCGCGGACCGGTACCGGTCCGTGGATCAAATGGTACTGGGCCGCCCATTTCATTGAAACTGAATTTAAATTCCTAAGTTTNTTTGTTTTTATTAAAATATTCAATCTTCCTTCAATTCACACCTTCAATTTTTTATAAATTCTAAAATATTTTTGAGTTTACATATTAACTTTAATGCTATGTTAAACAAATCATTGCTAAACAATGTAAAAATAAAGATTTACTTCATATATGTGTGCTTATAGGTAAAATTTATTTTTAGTTTGATATAAATGTATGTAAGCGTAATTTGCTTCGAAAATTTAAGTAATTTTAAATATAAAAAATTGAATGCAATTTTAATTTTATCAATTCCGTTTTTAACTTAAAAAATTGTATAAATTCCATGTCATTACAAGTTTAGAAATTGATATTTTGCTTCAATTTATTAGGACAGATTTTGCCAAAATTAAAAATTTCTTAAATAAAAACATTTTAGTAAAGCTTTACTTCTAAATTTTTTATAACGAAAAGCAAACTGGAATAAAATTTTTTTTCATCTTATTAAATTAAAAATTAGACAATAGAGTTGTTTATGCGAAGCTGAAATGCATCATAGGTACTAAATTATAAGCGTATAAAAATATTTAATTTTAAAAAAAAATTATACTTTTTTTAAGGAAAAATTTAAACTAAAACCATGTATTTAAATACATAATTCAGCAAATCTGAAATAAAAAACTAAATGTAAAATAAGTGTTTAATAGTTGATTTAAGAGTTTATAATGTTTTAAAAGATAAAGAGCGAAATATATGCTCCCAGTCTCCGGTGGGGATCGAAACCCGACATCTAGTTTTGTAGACTCGAATTTAATTAACAATTCCTTCAATTTCTTTCATTGTCGGAAAAAATTAAATCTTTATAGTGCATTTTAAGAAAAGACATACTTTTGGTAGAATACACCTTAAAATAATCAGCTCGAATATTACTTAAAATAAGAAATTAAAGTGTGTGAGTCTTTGATTCCCATGTTAAGTATAGGAAATTCCACAAAGACTAAGACTACACCAGCTACTAGCGCCACAAGTGGAGTCTAGTAATGACGCGTCTCTTTTCGGAACTGTTTTGGCGTGAATGATTCGTTTCGTCTCTATCGCGATTGCGACATTATTAAAAACCGAAACCGTGATAAGTTTTGTTATTAAATTTATTGCATGTATTTTTGATGGTGACTAATTTATCTGTTTTTAAAATAGGTTCGCTTATTTAATGTATTAAAATAGCAAATTAAAATAGGTAAGTTGTTTGTCGATTTTACATTGAATGCCGTGTTACAGTTCTCTTGTGAGATGTTGCGATCTAAAGTTGTTAATTGGATCTATTTATTAAAAATTCATTTTGTGTTAATTTATATATATAATAATTTTGAAAAAAAAAACAAAACAAACTTACTCTGAAATGTTTTATATTTCCTAAATGCGCACATTTGTGATTCATAAACTTAATAGGGACTTTAAATGACCTTATACTGGAAAAAAAAATTAAGCTTTTTTCTGTTTGTTGATGTTTTGCTTTTTTTTTCTATCATGTTTATTTTTTGTTCATATTTTTATTATTTCCAAAGTTCTTATACTTGCTTGTTTCTCCCTCATGATAACAAAGTTTCAAATCCCGATCTTCCAGGAACAGTTATTACAGAAATATTCCCCATTCTCAAATATATTTACGTAAAATCAATGTTTAAGCTTTGTAAGAACTATTTTAGTTTTAGTGATTTCCAGAAATAAAAATTGCTCAGTCATATTTATGCTTTTTATAATGGATGGTTATAATACAAATAATATATAACTTGGGTTCTTAAGCTGTTTATAAATATATTCGACATTTATCTAGAAAACCTATTATAAGTGCAACTTGTTGAGAATTGGAGTGAATATGGGTAAGGAATATTGATATATATATGTGTGTGATAATTATTTAAAAAATATGTTTTATTCTAATTAAATATATTTAACATTCATTATTTTTAAGTTGCCATAGCAATGGCTGTTGTAACCTTGATAAAACCTGAAGGTTAGTGTAGTGCATCTACCATTACAAAAATATAATTCCAATTCACTAGTATATAAGACATGTTAACTCGATTCTATGGTGGGGTACCTTTTCATCGATGACGGTTGACGTGGTCAAATTCTCCTCTCCCTACATTGGTGACCTTCGAACGAGATGACGGTTGACGTGGTTGAATTCTACTCTCCCCACATTGGTGGCCTTCCAATGTGAGGGCGGTTGATGTGATCGAATTTGACCTCTCCCCACAGTTTAATTCTGCTTCGAAAAAGTTTGTTGTCTCTCTTGGTTAAATCTATGATATTTGTTGAAAATAAAACAATGTATAACTTATTTTCCTATTTATAGGACTTTTCTATAAATTTATGTTTATTTCACATTAATTTACATTTTTAAATTTGACCTAATAATATTTTAATGCAGATTAGAAATAAATTAGCACTAGTATTTATTCTTTGAAAGTTTTTACTCTACAGAAAAGTTTTGATGAACGTTAAAATGTACTAAATCTGTACGGTGAGCTTTAGTTATTGTAACTCAATTTCTCTTGTCTTTTAAAATTAATTATTACAAGGTTCAACTGTATCAATAAGTGATTCTTAAAATTTTGCTACTATTCATTAGTCGAATAAATATGGAAATTTAGTACTCATCGCTCTATTTTGCATCAGTGTAATAGGTGGCATTCATAAGCATTGTTTTTTTTTTTTTAAAAAAATTTATGCATTTTATTAAGTAAGAACAAAATATATCTAAGGCAATAGATTTCGTTCTGCACCAAATTTGGTAAAAATAGACTAATACCGTTGCTCAAAACTATTCTTTAACTAATATACTTTATCTTAATAGTGAATATTACGTCTATGAAGAAATAAATAAACAATGGATAAGAGTAATTGCATAAATGTTTGTTAAATTCAAGGTCGACAGAGCGAGGAATTTGTTGTATTGGTATGTTGTCATTGCTCAAACTTATATTAAAACAAAACACAAAAGCAGGTTTTGATAGCTGAAAGATTCAACACTTCGATTCTCAATTATTCATAGTCACTTCGGGATTTATCGTGCCAGTAAAACATATATCTCTGCTTGATTAATCATGATGGGGAAGGATAACAAGAATAATCTCAGTGCTCACTGATCTCTTATGATCAGAGAAAAATGCTCTTTGCGCGATTTTGCAGTTATTGATGCCTGTTCGGGAGAATTGCTCTTTAGACGTAACATTGTATACATTGCAGGTAAATCTTAATTTCTGATGCTTACTAAAAAAACGACAACTGAAACATCGAATTGTTGATGATTGCTTAAGATCAATATTTTCCTATGCATTGATGTATCACCAGTCCTAATGGTTAAGCATCTAAAATTATTGTTTTATGGTTGTTAAGGATCTGACGTCATACCTAAAGTTAAAAATGCTCTGTGAGCTACATTGTTGAAACTTTTTTGTTGTTGTTAAAAATGGTATTTTAACACTGAATTCATAAAAATTATGTCTGTTTCAAGTCTCCATCAGCTGTAGTTCACACTGCATTTTAATTGTTAGCTTGTTTTTTCTTAAGTTACAATTATGTACATAAATATCCTATTTAAGATTAGATTATCTCATATTTTTTTCTTGTTTGTTTATTTTTGTTAAATTTTATGACTGTGAACAGTAAAAGTTATTTTAATTATAAAGTAACATATACATTTCTATACACATAACTATGATTAGTGAACTATTGTTTGATCTTACCTTCTTGTAATCTTGGGAAAAATAAATGTTTTAATGTAATTTTTATAAGGAAGAGAATATATTTTTTTATATTTATTATATGTGTTTTATTAATAGAATATTACAAAATTTCTAATGTTGAATTTCAGGTTATCATGCCTAACAACAATGTGTCTGGAAGTGTTCGTTTTGCAAATTCTAACTTTCAAGTGGTTCAGAACAGTGGATCTACTTTACCTGTTGATTATTCTTATGAAGAAGAAAGAATAAAGTCCTTCGTGCCTTGGCCTGTACATTATCCCGTTGATCCATTACGCTTATCAAAAGCAGGGTTTTATTATGCTGGTAATGAAGATGAAGTTATTTGTTTCAGCTGTCATGGTCATATCAAAGATTGGAATTATGGAGATATTGTACAAAAAAAGCATTCAACGTTATTTCCTAATTGCGATTTTGTCAATGGAAGGTCAAGAAATGTTCCTATAGTTAACAAAAAAAATCAAAAGCAAGGCAGTCCTGACTCTAAACAAAAAGCTCCAACTTCTGAAAGTACAAAATATTTAGCTGAAATCATGAAAAACATTAATTATAATAAAATGAAAACACTTGATGATCGATTAAAATCATTTGAAAAACAGTGGCCACTTAACAATATCGATATTTCAAAACTTGCTGCTGCTGGTTTTTTTTATCTTGGTGTGGAAGATAAGGTGCAATGTCCATTTTGTAAAGGCATAGTTAGTAACTGGGAATCTAAAGATGATCCTTTTGAGGAGCATAAGAAACATTTTCCTTGGTGTGATTATTTGTCAGATGAAAATCACACAATTGAGAAGTTGCCTTGGTTTCATTCTAAATCTGAAGATTTGTGTGGAAATATGCAAAAACATGTACTTGAACAAGCATCAGTAAAATCAAAACTTTTAGATCAAGATCAAGAACATTTAAATTTAGAGCAACTTGGCATACATTTATATAGCAGTCCTGCTCATCCACAACAAGCAAGTCTGAGTGCACGCTTACGCTCCTTTACAGCCTGGCCCAAAACAGCTCCTGTGTCCAAAGAGGACTTGGCAAATGCAGGATTTTTTTACATAGGTAAATTTTTTAAAGCTAGGCTGCTTTGTTTAGATAATGTGTTGCATTGTTCAATGTATTTAAATGCACTAATACATGTCTTCTGAGCTACATTAACAAACATAATTAGTCTGTGTACTTAATCTTTTTTCAAAACTCTGATGCTTTCTTAATTGGTAAAATGTGTGTGAATGTGTCACCTCTTTATTTCATTTTCCTTTATCATTATGAAATTTTTGTACAAGAAAGTATGCAATTACTAATAGGACAGTAGTTTTCTACATTCAGTATTGTCAGAGGGTTAGAAGGGTATGATTGAGTTTCAAACTAAAATACTATTAGGAGGCTGTGCAATTTAAGTTGGAGAAAGTATTTCAACTTAAATCATTAAGAATCTGTGCAGTATTTTTAAATATAGAACATTTTACTTTTATCTGAAATAGTAAAGTTGTGTCTGACTTATTAATGATGTATATAAAATGCATTGCTCAAGAAAAAAATTAGTTTTGTTTAGAAGTAAATCCCAATGATATTAATCTTAGCCTATCTTAATCATTTTACTTGAACTTCTAGGTATTGGGGATCATACTAAGTGCTTTCACTGTAATGGAGGTTTGTGTAATTGGGAAGTTGGAGATGATCCTTGGGTAGAACATGCAAAATGGTTTTGTAACTGTCACTTCTTAAGGCTGAACAAAGGAGATGAATTTGTTGAAGAAGTTTTGAAAACTAATGTTCCTGAAAATATGCTGGTAATTTTCTAACCCTTTTTTATTTTAAAATAAAATAAATTAAAAGGCATTTTATTTTAAGGACACTGAAATTTTTTTTTGAAATGTGCATTTTAGGTTCCTAGAATTCTATGTTGCCTCACTTATTCTATTTTACTACTGTTGCTTGTCCTATTTTTTTTTTCTATTCTACATTGCAGTAATCTTCTGTAGCTTTGACCATTAGAAATAAAAAAATTTGAAATAATTCAGTGAAATAAATAATTTAGTTAACATTAAACAGCATTTTAGTTCCTTTGATATAATTATTTATATTATGCAAATAAAGCAAAACCATATTTCGTTTCAAATAATTAACACCCTCATAAACCAACCTTTACTACTTATTCAATTGTATGCTTAAATCAGTTGTACTTAGCCTTTTTTATTCTAGCTATATTTGTTTTATGTTACTTTTATGTATGTTTTAAAATTTTGGTTTTCCATCTGAAATGATGTTCTTTTGATAATAAAACTTATCTTGAACAGAATTTTGATCCTCAGAAAAGTAGGTTAAAATTCTAAATTAAATAAAAGTAGGATTTTACATGATTTTTAAAGAGATTTATCTGATATTCTTATTGATTAAGAAACATCAATATGCTTTAATTTTTGTCATTAATTATTATTATTTTAAAAATAAAGCTACCAAAAACGTTATAAAATAAAAAAGGCTAATTAATATTAGAATGTATATTCAATAGTTGAGCTACAACTGCTAATACTCTGAGTTGTCAGTTACAGAAAGTGCTACTATTGAACATAGTTGCAATTTTTGGTGATTTATTTTATTGAACCAGGGGTTTCAGGTCTGGAACACTAAAAGCAACTTATAATGGACATTTTTGAAACTGCTCCTTTCATCCAAAAATTAGTTAAGAGAAAAAAATGATTTTTCTCAAACTTATTTTGTTTAAATTATTAGTTTGTAATTGTAACAAAAATTAGGAAATATTAAAATTTCCTGTTTTTTTGTTTACATTTTAAAACATGTTACCAAAAATCTAAATCTGATTAAATGTAGATTATGTACATATTTTTTTGATTTTTGGAATAGTGAGAGTGAGTTTTTAGCAATAGTGAAAAAGATAGAATGAGTAAAAATAAGTTGAGAACCGTTGTACTTGCTCTATGGATAAAATCTTTGCTTATGTTATATTGGAAAATAGTGAGTCTTACAAGGTTAGAATTTGTCCTTATTTTTGTTTCTGATCAGAGCTGGAAAAATTGTCACCACCGTGGAAAATTCTTTAGTATTAACTAAATAAGAAAAAAAGAATCCACCTCTTCAAAAAAAGTTAGTTTTTTTTAAAAATTGCACTTTTTCCTACCAATGCGAGTGCAATTTAAAATTGAATTTGTATGATTTAAAATTACACATTGCGATTCCTATTAACATGTTTTAAGATTACTCACCGTGTTTTGTATTTACGCAATTTTATCCCAAATAACGAGTTTTGTATTCACGTGGTCATGTTGGCCACTATTATGATTTTTGTTCAAATGACTTAAAAATTATTCATTGGAATTCGTATTAACGTGACTTGAAAATCAAAGTTCGCACTCACGTGATTTTAAAGCTCAACGTTGAGGTTCATATTCACGTGATTTTAAAATCAAACATCAAGATTCGTATTAACCTGATTTTAAAATTAAACATTCAGATTCGTATTCACAGGATTTTAAAATTCTTCTTGAGATTTATATTTACTTGATTTACAAATCTCGCATTGAGATTCATATGCGCAATTTAAATAAATAAAGTGCTAGCATCGATCTTTTTGATAACATTCTGTGATTAAATTCTTTCTCCATATATATATATATTTTTTGCATCAATCATCCGAACTTGATTCACATTACATTATTTCTCGTTTACATATTGTGAGAATAAACTGTTTTTGTTCTTCTAAAATCTATTTAGAGTTTCAAAATAGCTGCAGCTGAAATTTGCTACTTGAATATTAGCTAAAATTTATTATTTTTTTTAATTTTCTTTTCCTTGTCTTTTTAAAAATTTATTATACTAATATAGATTTTAAGTTATTAGGTTTAATAATAAATGTTATTTCATCATATTTTTTTGCATTTTATTAGGAAAAGAAAGCTGAAGATGTATCCAAATTTTTTTGTTCTGATACTTTATTGGCCAAAGTCGATGAAGCAATGGCCTCTAGTGCTGTGAAATATGTTCTTGATTCTGGTTTATTTCCCCATTATATTGTCCGAGTTGCTGTATTAAGACAAATAGAAGAAACTGGCTCTAGTTTCTCTGATTTAAATGATCTATGTTCTGCAGTTTCATGCTTGAAAGATGAAATGGAAAAACTTCCTGTAGATAGGTAATATATTATGTGACAATTTGTTATTTTCTAATTGAAATAGTTTTTTGCTGGACAAATTCTTCTAAAAACAAGAATAATTATTCTAATTATTTATAAAATGTTTTCCTTAAGCATTAAATTTGTTGAAACATGGGAGTTGCACATATATATAATTTTGTATTATGTATAAGCTGTATATATTAGCCATGGCAAATTCAACTTAAATTTGCATCTTCATCTTCCCTTTGCTCAATGTAAACGCCAGCCTCGATTTTTCTTCATTACAACCCAGTCATTTGTTTTCAAAAGTGCACAAGATTTACTTTTGTTCATCCAGTCTCCTTTTAAACAAAATTGTTCTAAAATTGGTCTAGCTCAACTACATGAAAAAAAAGAAAACGCAGATTAAATAAAACCTATAAAATTAAACTCCCTATTGGTACATTAAGTTATAATTTATATGGTTTAAAAAAAAATTTAATTATAATTAATCTGCACCAAAACAAAAAGGTAAAAGAAGTGTGCAAGATTTCATTAATAAAAATGATGGATAAGTTTTTGAGAAACCATATCCACTAATTCTATCAAACTTACACTAGAAATAGATCATTGGTAATATAGTTGATGTCTGGTGTTGAATGGAAAAATTGTTTTTAATCACAATTTCAAGTAAAAATTATAGCTCAAAACTGCTTTATAAATATAATATTTACAAAGTTTGTTGGTGCTATTTAACAAATTAAAATACTTCATAACATACAAAATATGCTATAGGAGCTTTTAAAAATACGACACATTTTTATTAGCATATCATTATAAATTAATAATGTTATGAAATAGTTGAATTATATGATTTTGCAATTGAAAAAAATGATTGCATGATTTTTTTTTTTTGCACTCTTCTTTAATTGATTGACTAAAAATGTTGTTACCTTAAATTGATTATCAATCCATATAAATTGATGTTCAATCCATATGTTGTGAAATACTGCATTTTTAGAATGACTTTGCTGTTTATAATAAATAATTATAATATCACAACAATTTTATTCTAAATTTTATGTGAAATATCAATTTCTTTGTTTTTCATCATAAAAAAAAAGGAATGCCTTTAAAATTTTGTGATCATGATAAAAGAGTCATTCTGTTCAATCTTTTAACGTGCAAACAAACAAAATTTGAAACATGTTTTATGAAATGTTTTCTCAAACATTTGCCATTATGATCTGATTTTCAATAATCCCTTAGAATAAATGTCTGCCCTGTGTATATGATTTTTTAAACACTGATCCATCATTGATCTTTTTACATACTTCTTGATAAAATTGACAAGTGATTGATAAAAGGATTTTTAAAAAAATTATTTGAATTTCTGGCACAATTGTATGCCAAAATTATGATTTTTAGTAACGTTCAGACCTAAGTATTACCTTTTGAAATAAATTGTACTTTGAAAAAACTTAAGTTCAATTTATTGACAATTCTAATCTGGAAGAAGTGTGTAAAATTTTATTTATAAGAATTGATAATGTTTTGAGAAATCATGTCCACTGATTTTGAGAAAGCTGTTAATTTTCAATTTTCATTCTCAGCCGGTAAAGCTTAATGAAAGCAGTTTTCAAAAGCTATTTCTTATTCAGTTTTAAACTGATATACTTAAATATTTGGAAAATGATGGTATAAAATTAAATGTTTCTTGATATGTTGTACTATTTGATAATGATTTTATTCCTAAAAAAAAGGTATATTGATCAATATTTAAAATCCATTAAACTTTATTGTAGAGTTCATTTTGTTGAGTTCTTTTAGTTACAATAAATATGACTGCAGTTACAATAAATATGATGCATATACAGCACTTTCCAGTTCTATGTAAAGATGTAATATAACACTAATTTCTTTGCTTAAGCCTAAATGTGATTCTCTGGATTAGTAAGGAATAATAAATAAATTATGAAAGGTTATAAAGTTAACAAATTATTTTCTCCACTTTTATCTACAAGAATCAAGCTTTAAAAGAATGGATAAGAAATCGCTTTCTATTAATTTATGTAGTGTTGCAAAAGCCAAAGTGCTTGCACTATTACTTTTTTTTAATACTATAAATTTTAAAACTTAGTTTTCACTTTTTTGAATTTTAGACATTAGTTGTTTTTGTATCAAAACATGGAATTATAGATATCTTTATAGTATATGCTATCTTTATATGAAACTTGAAATTAATAAAATAATAACCATGGTAAAATGAGTGAAATTAATACAGTTTGTTTTGTTATTTCAGTAGTAGATTTATTTTGTTATAATTTTCAATTAGTTATATTATAATTTCCGGTTTGCTTATTTGAATTATAGTGTAACGGTGTAAATTATAATATTTTATCATGAGTCTTTAGTTTAGTATATTTATAACCTGATTTCACTAATTTTAATTTCATTAGCTTGAATTTCCTTTTTTAAAATTATTAACTAATTTCATCAAATTAAATGTAGGGAGAAATCTGCTGAAAGTCTCAATTTAAATGAACTTGATATCAGAAAGTGTACGATCAGTGAGATGAACCAAGAGCAAAGTTCTGCTGCTGAAGGTCATTCACAAGGCTCACTTCAGGGAATTCATGAATCAGCTGACTGTAGTAGTACGAAAAATATGTTACTTTATTTATATGATTATGTTTTCTATTTAGCATATCATCAATATGCACATATTATGTATTAATTGTTATTCTTTAAGTTTATGTAGAAAGTTTATAATGGTGTAATTTCACTAAAACGTTTTATAACTGGATATGTAATTTAAACATGGCAAGAAGCATTAGGTCATTGAAAACATTGCATAAAAGAATTTAATTTATTATTGTAAATTTCAAGAAATTATAGATTTTTAGTATAAAACTAAAAAAGACAGCCACAAATTTTATCATAATTTTCGGTTAATTTTTTGGGGCAATCTGTGATTTTCCTTTTCTTGAACTATGGAAAATTGTTTACCTAAGATTAGTGCTTTTTCCAAACTGAATGTTTGCCAATATATTGTTTTGTAAAATTATAATTAAGTATAAGTAGGTAGTAAAATGAAACAATATTTATTAGAAAATGAAGTAAATAAAACTAAATAACAATCTTAAATTGACTGTTACTGTTATGAAAATATTTTTTCTGGACATTTTTTTAGATTTTATTACAAATTAGATGAACTGAAGTGGTACCTTTAGTAGGTTAAATTAAAACGCAATAAAATAAAATTTTTGTTTGTTCTTTTTCTTGGGATAAGGCTTTTATATCTTCATAATCATCTGCAATTCCTATCCTTTTATAGTTTTTTTTATGATTCTTTTATTGCAATTAGTGTTATCTTCTGCTGTATCTGTTCTTTGACAAAACTGTTAATTTCTAAACATTTTAGCTGCTTTTAAAACTTATTTTTGATTAAGATAGTAAAGTCAAATGAATTGATTATTAATTTAAGGATACTCTGAAAAGAAAAAAAAAATTTCAAAGGGAAAAAAAAAGTTTAGCTTTCTTTTCTTTTGACAAAGGATTAAAAGGAAATTAAAAACATGCACTTTGAAAACATGCACCTTCGATATGTATTTTGTTCATATTTATTTTAAAAATAAGTAACAGGGAGAATGTGATAAGAGAACTACTACAATAGTAAATCAACCCCTGAGAGAGATCAATTAATAATAAAAAAAAGATAAAATGTACAAAAAGATGAAATAGAAGTATGAGATAGGAACAAAGAATGTATAAATAAATAATTCAGAGCTGAATAAAGCTGAGAAATTATACAGAATATTTGACCCCATCATTTTCAGACATAAAAAGGTAGGGTATCCATGATTATATTATATTTCAGAACAAATAGTTAAAAATGATAAGGCTAATAGTTAAAATTGATAATAGTTAAAAATATTCTAAATTATACCTTAACAAATTTAATTTTTTTTTAAATAATATTTTTCTAAAAATTACAAAGGTACCTAATTCTGATAAACAAAAGACTATATAACATCATCTATGTGTAAGTAACAATTTGCAACAAAATAATAATTACTCAATTTATTATATTTGTTTCCCCTCCCCCAAATTTTTTTGTCACTCTTCTAATACACTTTAATTTTATAAAATACAATTATAATTATGGAGAATTTATGTGAAATAAACACGGCTATGACAAATTTTACATGAAAAATTGTTTTTAAATTGTCTAGTGTCTGCATATTCTCATAATCTGCTTTGATCATCTCATCATTTTGTTTAAACTCATAATTCTGTTTAAAAACAGCGTCCACAGAGAATGTGCCAAAAATTGCAGTACTTGTTTAATGTAATTGCATGTTTCACTTAGCATTTTGATATTATTTACCAATTGACTTCCATTTTGCCTTAATTATTAGATAAAGCAGCTATTAGATTGATTTTATTTAAATATATATTTATTACAAGTACAGTATTAAAAGACCACCCTGAATAACTTTTCATCTATTCTTCTTTTCATAATTTGCTCTGACTCTTCTTTAAACTCTAAACTCAACTTCCTCTGCTTTTTTGCTTCTCACCGTGGATTTAACCCTTCTATAATTGTTTCAGTTATTCTTAAACTCACTAGCCCAAATGCTCCTCTTCTTCTAATCCTTACAAAGAACTTTTTACTTTACCATTTTTTCTACTGTTCGTAATGAAATTGCTAATATTCTCTCCTGTTTAGTCTTAAATTCAGTTTTAGGCCTGTTAACAAAATAAAATTAAAGTCTCTTAAAAATCCTATTAGCTTTGATAATCATTGGAGCATTTATCACATTCCTTGTCAGTCCGACCTTAACTGCATTGGACAAACTCGACGTGACTTACAAAATTTGGACTTAGGAATATGATATGTCCGTTATCAAGAATTTGAGAGATCATCAATTGCTGCATATTGTTGAAATCTTTGACATAAATTCAATTTTAATAAAGCAAAAATTATTTCTGCCCCAGTCACATCTGCTCATCTTGTTTTCCTTTAGTCTTGTCTTATTCATATGAATGCTGATTCGCATAAAAACATTAGTTCCTCAACACCTTTCCACAGTGGGTGGAAATGTAATTTACCCTGATTTGTCCCTCTCGGCTACTGTGCTTTTCCTTGTTCTGTTTTTCCTCATGTTTCTTTCTCGGCAACTGTGCTTTTTCTAGTTTGGTTTCTCATTATTATTTTTCAATTTTTTGTTGCCAACTTTTAAATCACTTTTGTTTCTTTTTATTCATTTCTGGCAATTCTTAAAAATGGGTGCTTATTTTTGAAGCACGTTTTGACTGTTATTTTCTATTTATATGTTTTTGAAGCAAACGAAGTTTTTAATCAGCTAATATCTTACCGCTTCAGTTTCTTGGGATTATTTATTTAATATTGGGACTATATATTCTAGATTATTGTTATTCCCATATTTTGAGGGTCAAGAATCGGAATCCATCTGAAAAAATGGTTTTGTATGTTCATTTGGTGAAAGTATGTTTTTTTGACTGATTTCATAATTAAAAATATTGTATGCTCTGATTAATTAGCAAAATTAAGGTTAGGACCTTAAACCATCAAAATTGAGTTCTAGTACGGAAAAATCCAATCATTACACCAAAAGTTATTCTGGGTGTTCACTTATTTATTTTGCACCCTGTACATATAATGATATACCATGGACTTTCTGTTGTACCATAATTAATGAATCAAAGCTTGTATAATTATAAATATAAAATCAAATATTTATTTTTTCAACCATAACACAAATCAGTCCTTTCTTTAGCAGCCAGTGCTTAATAGACCCAGCCACTCAGAAAAAATTGTTTGTGCGAAAAAAAAGAGCTAACACTTATAAAGAATAAGTTAACTATCATTTCCGTGCTTCTCTGGGTTTCACTGACCACATCAATAAGGCATTTTATTTGTTTGAACTTAAGAGCTAAAAAATTTAATGTCAATATATGCATTCTAACTTATCTCATTCATTTTAAAACCACCCAGTTTTGGATGAGCTTTCTGTTTATTATATCTTGTTAAAGTTTGTGTGGAAGATGTGTTTATCACTAAAGCAGAAGTTTATACAAAATTTAAATTTTATCTTCTAACGTAAGACTTTTTATCTTATTAAAGATGTGAATAGATATGCAGCTATGTAGGAGAAAGATAAGTGTTTAAGTATGGAATCCTCTCAAACTGACTTTGGCAGTATTAAGAGAAATAAAAATATTCTAAAGTAAATCTATAAGCCTGTTGCCAAAAGGGCAATGCTTATTTTAAGTCAAAAACTGAAACTAATAGTGTTTTAAATTCCTAACTGGTTGAAGTTCTTGATCAGTCCTTTTAGATTCAAGTTATTGTAGATTGGTTGTATATGTACTTGAGTTATACCTACTTTGTTATTTTCCCTGTTAAGATAACATGGGAAAAATAAATGCTAATTATAATTCTTTGCTTTTTTCCATAGCTAAACTAGTCCCCCAAAAATGTGCAGACAAGAGTGAAACTTCTGGAGACCACTGTTTGTGTAAAATATGTATGGATAAAGAAGTCGGTGTAGTTTTCCTTCCTTGTGGTCATCTTCTTGCCTGTACAGAGTGTGCAGGAGCTATGGAACTTTGTCCTATGTGCCGGAAGCCCATTCAAGCAACTATCAGAGCATATCTTCCATAGCTTTATAAAATGTGATTATATAGCTGTATAAACACTATTTCATTATGTAGCTTTTTCATTATGTAGCTTTTTCATTATGTAGCTATTTCATTATGTAGCTATTTCATTATGTAGTCATTTTATTGTGTAGCTATTGCATTGTATAGCTAAGCTTTATAAAGAAATAAATATTTTGTGATCTGTGTTTCAAGTAAATCTTTCATAATATTTAAAGCTTACATAAGTCCTTGGGATGAATTAGAGGACTTGTTAGATCCAAAATAAAGTAAAATGGGACTCAGTAGATTTATCTTTAAAATTAAGATATGTTTTGCATGAATTCTTTACATTTCAAACGAATTTTTTTGTATGAATAAATTTTAAAAATAATATGAGTGGTTTTAAATATGAAATCATTGTTTTTATGTGGTATTAAATTTCTTTATCACTATGATGTTGTAAACAAGAGCTATACTCTTATCAATAATTGCTATCATTTTAAATTCATCTTCCTTAACATTTCTATTGTTTTATTAACGTGTTTCAGAAAACTAAATACAACCTGTTTTATATTCATGCATGGCTTTTTTTAAGAAGTTATGTGTATATATATATATAATACATATTTAATGTATATGTATATAATTTTTTTAGTTATGTATATATATATATATATAATTTTTTTTATTATATACTATATAATTTAATGGATAAATATTATTTATTACTGAACTACTATGATCACTGTTAAATGCATGTATCTTTGCCTTTAATAAAAAAATATGAATTTTTATACCCATTTAGATTTTATATTAGATTAGATTTTATTTCTCAGGCAAATCTACTTTAAGTTTACGGTTATAGAAACCAAAGAGTTTTCTGAAATCAACATCTTAAAAATTGTTAATTCTAGAATTTCACTTGCTCAATGTATCAATGTCGCTCCTAACCCCTTAGAACTATTGAAATCGTCCATTATTAATATTATCTTCCATTTTGGAAAGTTAAGATTCTTCGCAGTAGTCAAGATTTGTCCTGGATTTTCATAATTTTTCTGTGAAAATTATTTTAAAGTCACGAAAATTAACAGATTTTTCATGTTGAGATATATTTGGCTCCTCTAAATCATAAAAGTTGCTGCAGAATTCATTTTCTACTGCTTGTGCTTTTGTGTACAGTCCTGACTTAGGTAGAGATATTTGGGTTGTTAAAGATAAGCATTTTTCACTCATATAAATTTTTATTGTTAATTATTTTTTATGTAATAACCTAATAATCATGGATAAATCCTCAAAATAAGAAAGTGTGCTATTTAAAAGCTATATTTTTGATTTTAGTCAGAGTAGAATACAAAAGATTATGTATTTATTTTTTTCCTTCTCTTTTAAAAAGATAAAACTATTAACGTTAACTATTTTATGGTGGAGGATCATTGTATATCGTACTATAAACGATGCCATTGTAAATTAATATTGAAGTAAGTAAAAAGCAAAAATACTATGAAAATCAGTTGAAACACCGGAAAGAAAAACGGCATGATAACATTTAAACCAGTTTGATAGCATGCTGGAACTTGGAGGCATTTTCAACAACACTTTTCGTTTTGGACAGGACTTCTGTTTTTTTTTTTTTTGCATAAATTTTAATTAGTGATCCCTAATGTACAAATGTTTCTGACTTCATTTTGACAGGGATTCTAAAAATAAGGACACTCATTACTGAACACCGTATATTCTAAATCCATATTTTGAATTCAATTTTGTGTAAATATAAACAGAAATTATTTTATGTTTAAAAATTTATTATTTCTACAAAATTAAAATTTCTTAAATATTGTCATATTTTCTTACCTTGAACTGTCTAAAAGAACCATAGGATTTGAAGTAGAAAAAAAATTGCTTCCATTGGTTTTGATTCTAAAAGTGCTACATTAATCAATTACTCTGGGAAACAATTTTTTTTCCCCAATCTTAACCAGGGTCTTTTAAAATTCACTCAAATGCATACTAAGTGTCATTACTTCTCTGCTATGTATGAAGTAGTAGGAAGGTGATAATGCATTTCAGTTTATGCTATAGGTTAAGGTCATTTTTTTGTATTACGTGTTACTTTCCGAGGAGCAGACAAGTGTACATGAATGTATATAATTCTATATGTTTTTTTTTTATAAACTTGTACATTCAAATAAAGAGTAAGCTAAACTACAAATATCATTTTGAAAAAAATAAAAAATAGCTTTTCGAACAAACTGATTTTAGATTGAAAATCCCCACACTCCAATTAGGTAAGATCAAGAACTTGTATAAATGCAACAAAAAATTTGTTTCCAAGTTTTATCACGCGATTCCAAGTAATGGTTATATTATCTGAAAAAATATTTCAAAAAATTTTGCAAGCCATTTATGCTTAACCCAACATTGCCCGAATTTCAATATTTCGATGATGCAAAACGAGGGTTTAAGAAAAAAGTAGTACACATGTGTATTTAAAATAAGTGGATATTTGCTTTTGTTTCCCACCACTTTAGCTAAAGATCCAAATGTAAATATTTACATTATTGATAAATTATGACAGACAAAAACTATCTGGTTTTTGTAGAATTTTTTTTAATGATGAAACACCTGTACAATCGTTTTTTTTCTTAAAGAAAAAGGAAACCATCTTAATAAAAGAACGCTAAAAATAAATAGGTCAAAAGTCTGAATTTGTTTCTTTAAAAACGCTTTCATTGTTGCAGTTATATTTTTTAATTTTAAAATTTATCTTTTTAAGATTCTAGTTTATCATTCGCTTAGATAATCATCGAGATTAGCAATGCTTAGTATGCCAGAGAAAGAGACATTTCCCATAATCCTAATTATAAACGTCTATCAAATCCTTTTGTCGCAAATGATTTCATTACCCGAAGCGAAATTTTGGAATTTGTGTTCCTAATGTTTGAAATCTTAATACACTTGATTCAAAAGATATGAGCTAGTGAAAGCAAATAAAGTAAAATAACGTTGCAAATTCGTGCATATTGTTTTAAAGGGTTGTTTTAAAGATTATCACTGTATATTGTTTTAAAGTGTTTGATCAGTTAACCGCAAAATATATAGATAAATAAACAAGAATCTTCATATCAATAAATACATATTAAGAATGAAGAACAAATTATTGTATTTAAAGGATTAGTTTACATTTCTAAAAAATAAATTATTGGCATCAAAGGTTAAGCTGTAGCAGAAGCTTCTAGAGCTAGATGCTAGCTTTAATTACAAATTGTTCTAAAATTCAATGTGATTTATTCACCCTATACTATATATCGGGTGCTTAAAAATAAAATGGCCAAAATAAAAAGCAAAATGGGCATATAAAAAGAATAAAAAATCACAAAAGAACATAGGGTTGCTAACGAAACGCTACTCAGAACAGCAGGAAGGGGTTGCAGCAATTTGTACTTAATATATCGTACTAGACTAGGACAATAAACAAATATCATTTAATTTATACTCCGTTTCCACGCATGTTGCACACTATGGACTAATACTAAATACTATAGGAGGTGATCAAAGTTTTTTCCTGACTTGTGGCAGCAGAATGTGTTTGAGATTAAATTATTGAAAAGGTATACAATTGTATGTAGCATTAATGTAATCCATGTTTCCAGCAACTTTCAAATACTTCGTAATGTCTTAATCGTAAATGTATATGAAAAAAAAAAGATAAAATGAAGTTAAATAATTTTTTTTGTCCTATATTACGCGTAATTTGCAACGCACTTTAACTGCTCCAGGTATGTTTCCAAACTTCTTTCATAAACTTTGAGCATCTCTTGAAGTATTGGTCGTAGATGTGCTCGGAAAAATAACAAAATGAAATAGAATAATTTTTGTTTATTGTCCTTCTATGTTAGGTAAAATTTGCAACCCTCTTTAGCGGCTCCAGATAGCTTACTTCCAGGAGTCTTTCAAAGATTTTGAGTATCTGTAGTATTGGTCGTAAATGCAAAGGGAAAAATGGTAGGACGGGATATTCTAATTTCAGGATATGTAATAAATTGACTATATTTAGTTCAAAATCTGCAAGTAGTGTTATTATAGTGAAATATAAAGCTTTAATATTTTAGGAACTTGATATTAAACTAAAACTTTTGTTTGTTAGTTTAAAGTAAATGGAGTACCACTTCTCAATTTTTTATTAGACGCTGCAACTACTGAATAAAGGATTTCAAAGTAAAGCTTATTTCTATCAATGCATCATAAATAAGGTAACGATTCATGAAATATCAGTTCGTCATCAATATTTTAATGTTGTTGTTCTTTATTTACGTCACACTAGAGCTGCACAATGGGCTATTGGTGACGGTCTGGGAAACATCCCTGAGGATGATTCGAAGACATGCCATCACAATTTTGATCCTCTGCAGAGGGGATGGCACCCCCGCTTCGGTAGCCCGACGACCTGCACTCGAAGTCGAGCACTTAACGGTAGAACAGTTTAACGAGGACCAATACCTCACACCCTCGGTCCCTACGCAGACTAATCCAAGTGGTCATCTACCCGCACGCTGACAGCAGTCAGTGATGCTTGACTTCGGTGATCTGTTGGAAACCTTGTCTTAACGATCAGTCCACTGCGGGACTCGATACTTTAATATAAATAGTTTGAAAAATTTCATTCAATCATCAAATCTTTTTTTCATATAAGTTTCTTTCGTATATAGACCATTTTTTGTGACAAGCCATTAAATGAATCCTATTAAAAGTGAAATAATGTAGGAGAGTTATGGGAATTTATGCCTTTTTTTTATATGTTACGAAATATTCTAACTACCAGGATATAATAACAATTTAAGTGACTATATATAGTTCGAGAATTGCACGTACTGTTATTATTAAAGGGAAATATAAAGCTTAAATATTTTGGGAACTTTAAATTAAACTAATACTTTTATTTGTTAGCTTAAAGTAAATCGTGTACAACTTCTCTATTTCTTATAGGACGTCGCAACTACTGTATAAAGATTTACGAAGTAAATCTTATTTCTAGATAATTTATCAATGCAATATAAATTGAAATTTAAAGCTTATTATCAAGCTTAACATAAAATTTGAAATTAAGCATTGACATATAAAGCTTAAACATTTTGACATGTAAGGCTAAAACAAACTAAAACATTTGTCTGTTAGCTTAAAGTAAATAGGGTACCACTTCTCAATTTTTTTCAAAAGTAAGTTTTCAAAGTAAAGCTTATTTCTAGACTTTTAACAATGCATTATAAATAATGTAAAGATTCCTGAAACAACAGTTCGTCATCGGTATTTTAATACTAATAGTTTGAAAAATTTCATTCAATCGTGAAAGAGAGTTTTTATTGCTAACAGTAAACCAGATTAAACATGTTCAACTTGAAGGTCATATTAAATCTGAAAAAAATAGGAAGGTTTGGTTCATAGCATTGTATGATTTTAGAATGCATTTTAGCATTGTTTACCGCCCATTTTAATAAGGTATGAACCACGCCCTATTGTGATACATTAACAACTTCTTCTAACTTGATGTTAAAATACATTAGTAAAGGGTGAAAAATAGTCTGGAAATGGAAAAGATTGAGGTTATGAACGTAGGAAAAACAATGGGCTATGAGCTGATGAAGTATATGAGAATGCTTATTGTATTTTAATTAATAAAAAAATATAATTTTATTGTTAGAATTAATTTTTTATTTATTTTGATTTTGTTACATGAGTCATTTTCATCGATTTTTTTCTACCCATACAAGAATTAACTCACTTGGATGTAGAGTTTTCGATTCGCTTTAAAAGTTCTCGAGATATAGAAGTACGCGAAAAGTAAAACTAACATTTAGGGATCAAAACTTAGGAGCGCTCTCCTGATCAAAATATTGGGACCATATTTCCAATATCGCGGCTNCATTTTTATCGATTTTTTTCTATCCATACAAGAATTAACTCACTTGGATGAAGAGTTTTCGATTCGCTTTAAAAGTTCTCGAGATATAGAAGTACGCGAAAAGTAAAACTAACATTTAGGGATCAAAACTTAGGAGCGCTCTCCTGATCAAAATATTGGGACCATATTTCCAATATCGCGGCTACTCTCTATATATTGGGGGATCAGAAATCCGAATACGACGAAAAAATGTATGTTTATTCAGAGAAAGTATTTGTGCCTGATTTTGTAACTTAAATTATCGTCTGCACTCATTAATTAGCAAATTTGAGGTCATCCCCTCGAGCCATTAAGATTGAATCCTAGAACGTGAAGATCCGATCATTAGATCAAAAGTTATTCAGGGTGATCAATTTTTTTTCGCACTGTACATTGCTGGAAATTTTGTAGCTTATTAAACCATACATTGTGATTCAAATTTGCTGCAGCCATTTTTATATAGCTAAATTAAACCATATCAACACGTTTTTCAAATTCGATCGGTTTGGTTTGACATGATAAGATTGGTTTACATTGAATAGAAACGCGGTTTAATTTAGCACCGTTATTAAAGTTGTAGCAAACTTGAACCAGAGATGTGGTTTAACACGCAACAAGACGCAAATAATATGGTTCAACGTTAAACCGACTTTTCTAAGAGTGTAAATTACATGTTTCAAAAGATGCTGTTGGGTAGAATAAATATCTAACAACCGTTGATATGTATAAATTATTAAAAATAATTATTATAATTATTAGTAAAAGTGTAGTTATAGGATTTTCCCCCTCTATTCGTTTTTAAAGTCTGAGTTAGGTTAGGAGAAGAGAGGCATCTTAAGAAAGCGTGAAAAAGTTTTTTTTAAAGGAAAAAAAAAAGAAGATTACATTCAGAAAAAAGTATGGTAAAATGATGAAAATTTAGAAAATGTAGTAAAATAGAAAAGTTTAGAAGATGTGGTAAAATGTAGTAATTTTATCATGATAAATTAAAGCATTTATTCGGTTAAATTTTCTTTTCAGTTTGTATTTTTTAATAAATGTGTGGTACTGTAATTGTAATTTTGAAAACCAGAATTTCCAGTAAATCGTTTAATGGCTTAATGGTTAAATGGCTTAAGTACCGTATATTTTGGTTTAATTAACCAGAATTATGTTATTTTTTTAAAAAATTTTTATTATTTTTTTTAACCAAAAATGTCATTACCATACAGTAAGGTAATTTTACCATATTTTGTATCTCTGTGTAAATAAGAGCAAACATTTTTCACACTAATATGTTAATCCTATGAAAACATTTCTGGTCCAATCTTAAAGGAAGTGTTGTAAAGTGAAAATAATTTTATATTTATTGACAAAATAATTAGTATATCATTTTTAATACATGAACTGTTTACCCATTGAAACATATACTACCTATCTGTCACACTTTACTCCACTCGGTGATAATTTTCCTAAATGGTAACAAAATAATAATAAAATTATAATCATGGTCCTCGCTAAGCATTCGCCACCTCGCCAAATGAGATAAAATCGTAAATTTAGCGACTAAAATTGTGTTTTCGTGAAAGTATTGGCGAATGATTTTTTTCTCCAGAAGGAAAAATATGTAAGAACTCGATCTTCAAAATTATGCCAAAATGAATTTTTCTAAACAAATCAGTATTATTTTTTATTCGATTACAGTAATTCTCTGTAGATGCAGAAGAATTGGGTGGTCCAAATAATATAAACCTGAAACAAGCTACCGTAAAATAGTTTTCTATGGGAAAAAAATGCATCGCAAATTTTTTTTAAGATTTGCATTCGGCGAAGACTATAGAAAATTTTTGTATACTTTTGATATTTGGTTAATTTGTTGGTTAATAATTTGAAATCCTTAGCATGGGCTAAGGATTTCATAAGGATAGCATGGGCTAATTGCACGTAAAAAAGTTTTTTTTTTCTTCTTTTTTTCTTCCGCTTTTTTTAAAATTTTGTCATATTATCATTATCATATGATTATCATTCACCATCATTATCATATGATTATCATGCATTAGCATATTTGCTTAATTTATATATATGTGGTGGTTGGCAAAATTACCTAAATTAACTTAAGAAGTTCAACATATGTAAACAAAAGCTACAACTTTAAATGTAAAAATAAAATCATAGGAAAAACTGACTGCTATGACGAAAGTAATAGGCTTTGTTTAAATCGGTAATTAAAATTTGAGTTTGATGTAGTGGCTAATAAGGGGTATACACACAGTTTTTAAATTTTCGGTATTTTAATACGATAATTTAGCTCATGTTATATTATTTGTAACAACATCATCAATACATTCCTTATACTATTTTACTTTGCAGTATTTAATCATTTGGAAAGTATTTTTTTCGATTTGAATCATCTAGATTTTTTTTTGTATCTAAATATTACACGATTGTTAATTTTTTTCTGAAATTTCGAACAGTTAAAAAAAAAAAAAAAGTTTGTTCTTTTTGTTTTGATGTCCCTTTTTTTAAATCCATTTTTTACCATTGTTTGATATAATTACCACATGATATTACATTTTCCCAAAATAATAAGATTTATTTCAAAAGAAATTAAGGTGTAACGCATTACTTCGAAATTGTAAACACTTTTTTTGTACAAACAACGAAAAAAATTATTCACACCTTTTATTACGTTCTAAGGAGAACAATAATTTATTAATTTCATACAAAGAATCTCACAAGTTTATATTTTCTTATTCATTCAAAGTCATAAATGAAATTTTACAGTGAATAGCTTGTACGTGACATTGAAACATTCACCATTTATACATGGGTGAATATCTTTTAAATATCATATCGCTTTTAATAAACTATTATTTAAAAAGGCATAATACCTTTTAATCTCTTCTTTCTGCCTCGTTGATATCTTAAAGTTTATGTTCTTTTAAAATCTAAACAATAAAATCTACAACTAAGTAGCCTTTGTTAATTTCACTAAGACTAATTGTGCTATGATTTGCATCAGCAAATGAAGGCAGTTATTTTTTTGAGTGTTTTTGTTTTAATCATAAATCTGCTATATCTTCTTTTAATTTCAGCTTCTTCTTTAATAAGGTGTTAGTATGGCATTGAATGGTAAATTTGAAGGTTTTTTTTATTACTAAAGGACACGGAAGGTTCGCAATGTTCTTTTTCTAATTAAATGATGTGTTTTCTTTTAAAAATAGTTGAAAGACATTTGACTTTCTACGCACAGTTGCTTTTGGTAGTAAGGTTCACTTCGCCAAGAAAGAAATATTCTAACTCTAACGTCTCCAGAAGGTGGGCCTGACCTACTTTAAGTGTGTTTATAAGAATTTGTTTGGTCCGATTTTCCCTCTTCGGACAGGTTACCGGTGTGAGTTTTATTCAATAAAAGATATTAAAATAAGGTCCTGTGGGATTTATTAGTTGAACGGAAAAGAGCTTAAAAGTAAGTGATCGCTTTGATTTCTAATTTCGATGGTTTTAAGGAATTAATTTTATAGAATTAGTTGCATTTCATTTTAATTATTTATAATTTGCTTAAAGATTATTATTTTTTATTATTATTTTAAGTGTGTTTATAAGAATTTGTTTGGTCCGAAAGATTATTATTTTTTATTATTACTTTTTAAGTGTGTTTATAAGAATTTGTTTGGTCCGATTTTAAATCTTCGGACAGGTTACCGGAGTGAGTTTTATTCAATAAAAGATATTAAAATAAGGTCCTGCGGGATTTATTATTTGAACGGAAAAAAGCTTAAAAGTAAGTGATCACTTTGATTTCTATTTTAACTATTCGATGGTTTTAGGGAATTAATTTTATAGGATTAGTTGTATTTGATTTTAATTATTTATAATATTGTTTAATGATTATTATTTTTTATTATTATTTTAAGATTATTGTTATATTATTATTCATTCTATTATTGGTGTATTATTAATATTTTTTAAAATTGTTTTTAATTTAATTACTTAATATTTTTTGCGTTATTAATTTTATTTATATTAATCTTTTAAATCAACTAGACTTTTCTGATTCATAGGAATTAGTTTTATTCGTATCTTTCTTAACTTAGAAACTACCAAATTATTTTATCTATTTTTACAAACTACCAAACGAAGGGTTTATGAATACCATATATTTTGGTTTTAATAATTTTAGCCAGATTTGTGGGGGCTTATTTTAAAACCAGAAATGTTATTATTATATAATACTGTAATTTAATCAGAATTTTTTTTCCATGGAAAATTTCAAGACAATTTAACAAAAAGCAGTAAATGTAATCGAAATGCGTAATAATTGAGTTGTATAAAATAGAAAGTGTAAAGGGATAAAAAAAATGAAAAAGCGTGTGATAATCTTTTATTGCAAAGTTATATAAGAAGAACAAATTTTGGTATGATAAAATTTCTTTTCTTTTAATTACTGTTTCATGCTATAATAGTTAATATGTGCATTATAGCACTAAGACGACGAAGTTTTCGATGCAAATCTTTAAAAAAATCTGCCTGTGATTATAAATGTTTAAATTTTCTAAAAATTAAATTAAATTTTTTTAATAATTTAAATTTTCGGTCAATTTATTCTCTTCTTAGAATTGTGAAAATTGAATTTGAAAACTTCGAATCGCGTTAAACAAAAATATCGCTTAAATTTGATACAATTTAATTACGGTGCCAAGTTATATTGTTAAAACTAATCCAGCTTGAATACTATTGTGGAATTATTATTATTGCTGTGAATACCATATTATTGTAAGAACTAATCCAGCTTGAATTCATATGATAATATGGTTTAACATGGAGTGTAGCATTGTTCACTATAACATCTTATTAAGGCGGTAAGGTGAAGTTATGAGAAGTTTTGTTATCATTTTAGCTACCTTTAAATATAACTTTTGTAACATCTTCATTTATATCCAGAATCATGATATCTATTAACTTATCTTTGCTTCTTCAAAAATGATATACATGGGGACATCAATAACAATAAAATATTTTTTTAAATAATTTAAATTTGTTTGCTAAATTATAATTTATAAATTAGTCAATTTTATCTCTCTTTTGTGTTTAATTTAAAGATAAAGTGTCCCTTGAAATAATTTAAACTTTGAAAAATTCTTAAGGATTTAAATTCTCTTTTCTAATTGAAGGCGACTACTAATTTAAAATGATGTAAAAGGTAGATTATTTTTCATCTGACACTAATAACTGGCGAGCTTCAATCTACCTGTCACACTTATTGCAAGATACATTAAATTTGCTGCTTAAATACCGATTTTTGAAACAAGACCTTTTTTAAAAAAAAAACAAAAATTAAGTTAAAGAATGTTTAATAAAGTTAAAAACTGTTTCTAATATTCTTTTTTCTTTTTAAAGTTAAAGACTGTTTCTAAATTTGTTCATTGTTAGCAATAATCTTGGATTAGTTAAACTTTCGTATCCTCCAAAATATATTGATAATATTAAATTCCATATTTGGGTCTAACATCATGAATTTTTTATATTTTTAAATCAAATTGGTAGCTAAATGAATACAATAAATGAATGAATAAAATGGGTGAATGTATAAAATGAATAAATAAAATGAATGGATGAATAAAATGAATGAATGAAATAAACGAATAAATGAATGAATTACAAATGGGCTATAATTTTTTTCATCATAACATAATGTGCGCTTAATAGAGGTTGATTGATTATAAATCAATGGTCTGAAACATGTTAATACATTCCATAGCACTTACACTACAATCAAAATTTTTTTAAACGTTTTCCAGGGTTGCTACAACAAGGAAAAATCACAAAGTTGTAAAATTTATTTAATTTTTACCTTCACTTGAGCACAACAAACAAACTCCCTATCTCTTTCACACTCATAAATATATTCCCTTTAAATTGCAATTTTATTGATAGAAACGAGTAGTTGAAAAAATCTATATTTTTCTCAAATTTTTTCATCAATGCTTTTCTCAAAATTTTTTCCAGATCGTAGCATTTCCAATTGTAAATGTTTTCAGTATAGAAGTTTTCAGTATATTTGAGCTCAAACATCGACGAGAATGCCGAAGTCATTAAATGAAAAATATTTGCTATTCAATGATTTTTGTTGGAAAAAAATAACAAGCATATTAGTTTGTCTGAAGATATGATTCGATTTAAAATATGAGTCTAAATCTTAACTGTTACAGAAAAAACAAAAGTAAATATTATTTGACAAAATAATGTGATTTAAACAGGCTTTTATTTGTTTAGTTATGGGCTTAAATATTACAATAATTCCCCCTAAAAATCCAGTTCGTATCAATATATCACGCATTAAGAATCACCAAAGATATTTGAACAAAAATTCCTTGTATTATGTGAAATAGTCGGTACTCGTTCAAAGTAAAAAAATAAAACAATTAAATAATATTTAATGCATTTAAATGATAAAGTATAAAATTTTGACAGATCAGATTAAATAGTTCCTGATAAATTAAAAATCCCAAAAATGCCTTTTACGAAATTTTTTCACAGATACTACTCAAATTTTAGATTTTATTTTTGGAAATTACACTGTTAGACAAAAAGCTGTTGTTGAGGAACATGTTTAAACTTTTACGCTTTATGGTAAAAAAAATATATCTTCAAATTAAACGACAAAAAAAATCAGTAATAAAATATTTATTATAATAAATAATTATAAAAATTATTTTATTTGAACTTTCCAGCATGAAATCACGTTTGAATAAACGCATTACAAAATGGTCTAAATTTTATAAATTATCAACTGTCTAAATATCATTTTAAAATGGTCACTTTAAAATTAGTGGTCAAAAATAAGTATTTAAGAAACAAAAACTCCTCGCTACCAATAAAAGCACTTGTCACGAATACATCAAAACCAGCATGATTGTCTGATAAAACTTCAAGATGTTTGTAATAATCGCCTTTCAACTTTCTTCCGTTATCAAACAGTTTTAATGTTTTTAATCTCGCCATCCTCTGAAGTGATAAGTTAGATTTGGATAGAGTTCTTGCTTATTTTACTTCTTGATTTAATGTTAATTTGTGAACAATAATTAGATGGGATTTAATTTTTACAATGATTCTAAAAATTTATATATACGGTGGCCATAACGGTACACTCTATATCGTTAAATAATTTAACTCTCTCGCATTAGTACAAACTATATCGGTTAAGTTAAAAAATTTCTTCTTTCTATCGGTTAAAACATTTCTTCGCTCTTGCTTAGTAGTAAAAAGAAGGAAACATATATACTATTCGTCATTGTTTGAGGAAGTTATCAGAAAAGTAAATATATTCTAGCTAATTTATTTCCAGACATTTCATCTCTCAAAAGCTGAGTTCATCGAGAGCAACAGGGGGCTAAACAAGAACAAACCCTTTTAGCAATAATCATCATTTCTGTTTTTATTCAAAAAAATATAGAACGTTAGTAATAAGGAAGTAAATTAAGAGTTCGTAAATGTTTCGTGTAAAGTTAGAAGTGTATAATTATGTTAAATATTTGCTTTTAGACAGTAAAATGGGGTTAGAAAGTTTAAAACATTAAAAGTATATTTGGGAGAAACTTTTAATCACTTCCTACACATTATATAATTACGAATGTAGGCATCGTACGAATGTATTTCCCCAGAAGTGGAACAATATAATTTCATAAACAAAAAAAATTTTATTAAAATTTTAAAATTCAGAAAAATTTTAGAAAAAATTTTTAAAGCTTGGAAAAACAATTTTTTCTTGATATATTTTTCCTGATATATACTTAATAAGACAACAACATAATTCTGGTAATCAAATCAAAATATATGGTTTTTAAATCATTTATTTTGTCTTTTTTTCGCTCATATGGTAACGGTTTACCGGAAACTCTTTTATTCAAAATTAGAGTGTTTAATACCACTAATTTAGTAAAAAGTAAGAAACTGATAAGTAAATTTAACCTACTAACGAGTTTTTATGCCTTGCTCTAAGGTATCATGATACAATTACCAAATTTTATCCCATATTATAAAACCACATTTCATTGTTAATTTTACCAGTCATTACCAAGGTGCTTCGGTAAAAATTACGGAGCTTTTTGATGTTCCCACATAGTCAGAAACATGGGAAATTTTACCATATTCTGGTATTTTTGACCATATTTTATTTTCCTCACCGTATTTAAGTTCAACGTTCAACCTACTTTTCTGAGAATTAAACTTTAACATTGGGCCATGAAAGTTTTAAGAAGTCAAAGTAAACGCAAAGAAAAAATTTTTTTTCTTCATATTTCTATGAGTTTCACGTTTTAAAAATTTTATCGCTTAGTTTCAAATTTGAAGGTTTGTTTTTGTGTGTGAATAGAATACAAAAAAAGCTACCTTTGATGCTTACAGAGATAAATAGGGGACACGACTGTAAAATCATGTTTTCAAAAATGCTGCTGGAATTTATATGCA